ATAACATAATGGTAGTGTATAGTTGGTATCAGCTGTGATTCTGGAGGTAGAGTGCCTGACTAAGGCCTATATTTGGCAACCTTATCTCAGTTTTCATAGCCACTGCAATTGGATTGAGAATATACATGGGACCCAAAAGCAGTCAATGAATCACAAACCAGTGTGACAAGATTCTTGATCTTTCTTCCTGGATCAAAAAAAACAAAAAAACAGGAAGAGTATCTGCCACCATCTTGCTACCATGGCAAACATGACATTGAAGCCAGCATAACAACTGGCTTTGCTGAGAGTCCTTCTTACAAGAGGAGATTAGGACACTTAGTGAGATATGAGGGATGTGATTGCACAGAGAAGGGATTATGTGAAGACACAGAAAGAATATGGATATCTGCAAACCAAGGAGAGAGGCCTCAGGAAAAACTGAACCTCCTAACACCTTGATCTTGGACTTTCACCTGCCACCTCCCAGAACTGGGAGAAAATAAATTTCTGTTAAGCTCTCTGATCTGTGTTTTGTTATGACAGCCCTAGTAAACTAAAACAAGTGTCAATCATATTAGGTGTGGAGAGAGAAAGTATACATTGAAGAGAGAACCAAAGAAAAAGATAATTAATTGCATCAAACTATGTTATTTTACTTTAGAATCTGTAGTATATGCACACATTATAAAATGTCATATATGTTTAATAAATGGTTACTGTTATTATTTACTGCATGTTTGTGAAGCACATTTTATTTTACTCTAGTATAAAACACATTTTCATTGTGAAAATAACAATGTAAATAGAAAGGAGCTAAATCTTGGCTAATTTGGTGGCTACCTTTGTATTTTGAAAGCAATCTATTTTATCTCTAAATAATCCTTTTATTGTGCCTGAAATGATACAGTTAGAAATTTATTACATTCAGTCTCTTTAAACTTGAAGATTTTTGTCTGCATTGATTTATTTTTATGGCTTTATATAAAAGTGAAATTTATAAGGGCAGAAAGAGGTATGGAGGATAACTTCAGGGAGGCCATGGGAGACTTAATTAATCTGATTCAGAAGCTGGCCTTTGTATGTAAACCTCTGAATGGAAAATAAGAGGACCAAGGGAGAAAAGAGAAAGCTAAAATAGATAAACTTCACCTTTTCACCTTGGGCCCACCTTAAAAATATAGTGTTCTGTGGGAAAAGGATGCCCTATTCAATAAATGGTGCTGGGAGAACTGGTTACCATATTACCATGGTAGCCAGTTGAATAACCAGATGAATAACCAGAATATATGCAGAAGATTGAAACTGGATCCTTTCATACCATATACAATATTTATACCGTATACAATAATTAACTCAAGATGGATTAAAGACTTAAATGTAAAACCCAAAACTATAAAAATCCTGGAAGGTAACCAAGGGAATACCATTCAGGACACAGATACAGGCAAAGATTTCATGAAGACAATGCCAAAAGCAATTGCAACGATAGTAAAAGTTGACAAATGGGCAGTAATTAAACTAAAGAGCTTCTGCAGAGCAAAAGAAACTTATCAACAGAGTAAACAGACAGCCTACAGAATGGGAGAAAATTTTTGCAAACAATGCATCCAACAGAGGACTAATATCCAGCATCTATAAAGAACTTAAATTTACAAGAAAAAAAAACACCATTAAAAAGTGGGCAAAGAACATGAACAGACACTTCTCAAAAGAAGAAATACGTGCTGCCAGCAATGTTATGAAAAAAGCTCAACATCATTGATCTCTAGAGAAATGCAAATTAAAACCACAATATCATCTCACATCACTCAAAATGGCTATTAGTAAAAAGTTAAAAAAAAAAATAACAGGTGCTGGTGAGGTTGCAGAGAAAAAGGAACATTTATACACTGTTGGTGGGAGCGTAAATTAGTACAACTATTGTGGAAGACAGTGTGGCAATTCCTCAAAGACCTAGAGACAGAAATACCTTTTGACCCAGCAATCCCATTACTGGGTACCTGCCCAAAGAAATGTAAATCATTCTATTATAAAGACACATGCATGCATATGTTCATTTACAGCATTATTCACAATAGCAAAGCAATGGAATCTACCTAAATGCCCATCAATGATAGACTGGATAAAGAAAACATGGTACATATATACCACATAATACTATATAACCATAAAAAGAATGAGATCATGTACTTTACAGGGACATGGATAGAGCTGGAAATCATTATCCTTAGCAAACTAATGCAGGAACAGAAAACCAAATACCATATGTTCTCACTTATAAGTGGGAACTAAATGAAGAGAACAAATGGAGACACAGAAGGGAACAACACACACTGAGAGCTATGGGAGGATGAAGGAGGAAGAAAACTAACTAATGGGTACTAGGCTTAATACCTGGGTGATGAAATGATCTGTACAACAAACTCCCCCGACACCACAAGTTTACCTATGTAACAAACCTGCACGTGTACCCTTGAACTTAAAAGTTAAAAAAATAGTGCTCTTCAGTGGCCAAAAGAAAATTTCCTACGTTGTTTTTTTCTTTTTAAAAAATCACTAGACACACAAACAAACCTGTACACAGTTGTTTATAGTAGCTTTATTTGTAATTGCTTCAAACTGCAAACAACCAAAATGTTCCTCAATGGGTGAATGATTAGACTGTGGAACATCCATACCTTGGAACACAACTCAGCAATCAAAAGATCACACTATTGCTATGTATGACAATTTGGATAGAGCTCAAGGGAATTATGTAGAGTTAAAAAAGCTGTACCTAAAGGTTACATACTGTACACTTTTATTAACATAACATCTCAAAATGATAAAATTACAAAGATGGAAGACAGATTAGTGGTTGCCAAGAGTTAGAGATGTTATCTGGGTAGAAGGATGGGCGCGTCTATAAAGGGGGTAAGAAGATGGAGATCTTTGTGGTGGTAAAAGGTCTGTATTGTCTGTAGTGATAGTCACATGGATTTACACAAGATAAAATGAAATAGAGCTACATACAGACGTTGTGCCAATGTCATATTCCTGGTTTTCATACTGTACTATAATTATAAAAGATGTAACTATGGGGAAATGGGGTGAAAGGGTACATGAGACCACTCTGTACTATCTTTGCAACTTCCTGTGAATCTATAATTATTTCAAATAAAAAGTAAGATAAAAAATCATTTGAGGGTTTTCATCATTAGAGAAATTCTTATTGAATTCTCTGGAGGCAGTTTCTTTGGCGTCCTTACTTTAACGATGTTGGAGAAAAATGAAAAGGTGGGAGGCTGGAGAAGGCAGTAAGCCTTGCCATGCAAATTTAGTAAGCCACATGAGATGTCAGAGAGCATAATGATTTTCACAAGACTAAAGACCTTTAGAATAGAGGCTTCTAAAATAAATAATTCATTTATACAATGTCACCTAATGCATAGCTGTAGTTACAGGGTGACTCTTGATCATAGGGATGGAAAGGAAGTAGAGGCAGAAACTTCCAGATTCCCACAGTCCCCTCACATAGAGAAGAGCCATAGTGACCGTCCTTCTCTCCTCTAACCTCTTAACTCTTCCCCTTAGCTACAGGGCAACTTAGTTTCAGTTTAATTTTTGATTTGGGGAACTTTAACCATCTCTAGGTAATTTCTAGTTCAGAGAACTTGTACTTGCACAATGTCCTTCTTGGGTAAAGTCTGAATTGCGGTGGTAGCAAATTTGAATCCTTGTGGGTGGTTCCCTTCTTAGGAAACAAAGATTAAGAATGACTAGAAATCTTCCAGATGTTGAAAAAGACAATTGAAATTGTTAATTTCTTTGTAGAGGGTCAGAAATAAACTCTAAAAAGTTAATTTACATTAGGGCAGTATGAGTGTCCAGGTAGCATGAGGAAGTAACTAAGACAGTGCATGCTTTTCTCCTTTTGGTTTTCCTCCAGTCCTTCCATAAACCACTTCTGTCTGGGCGTCTATTTCCTTATATGCATTAACAGTTAATTGTGGTATCTCATGTGTTTTCTGGCATTGTCTTAAATTTGGTTTCATATCTGTTCCTTTTGAGGTGAGAGTGTAACTGCCATGTGGAAATGTTAAGGTTATAGTAAGTACCTCAGCTCCGGAAGGAAGTCAGAACTAGAGATTTAGACATTTAGAACTTGAGAGGCAGTATACAGTAATACTTCGGAGCCACATTGCTTGGGTCCAAACCCTGGTTCTCTAGCAAGTTATTTCACCTCTCTGTGTCTTAGTTTTTCAATTTGTGAAATGGAGATAAATGGGGATAGTGAGAATAGTCTTCACAGGATTTGGGGAAGATTAGTCAAGAACTCCTGCTAAACGCTGTTTACTATTGCTAGTATACTAGTGTTTTCCACTTTTCTCTCCGATAGTTTGTACATAACAGGTGCGCAGATAAATATCTGCGACATGCCTCTAATTCCAAGAAGTCGTTTGTCTTGGTTCACTCGCTAAATAATATTAAGAGCCTTTCTCTTTAAAAACAGAGATCAGTACGTTACTTTTCATTAATATCATCCGCATAACAATAGACTTAGTTGAGAGATTCAGCAGGCAGCATTTCACACAATCGAGACTCCTTTACTGATCATATCATAAAAGCATTTCCCTCGATTTCGTAAGGCCTCAGTTAACGTCCTACACCCATCCGATGCTCCTTTTTCGTTAGCCTTCTTCTCCTAAGTGGGCTTATCTGTCTCCTGGTATTAGGAAGGCACTAACTTTTCCTTCGGGTTGTTAGAGAAGCAAAATGATTTCCAAATTCACGGTTCTGGCTCCGTCTCCAGCCCACGGAGGTGAAAACGGGGCGAGGCGCGGCCGGATTCCTGGGCGGAGCTTGAGTGGCGTACCTCGAGGCGCCGGCGACGCTGGCGTGTGACGTTATCGCTTGACGCAGGCGCAGTGCCGCCCGACCGCGGTTGGGACCCCACCCCTCCTCCTCCGCCCACCTGGGTGTCGGTGGCTGCGGCAGGGGTCTGGACCTGGGCGGCGGGCCCGGGCGGCGGGGCTAGAGGGTGTGGGCATTGGCAGAGCGCCGCAGGCTGCATCCGGCTCGGTGCTGCTGCCGCCGCCGCCGCCCCTACCGCCGCCCAAGGCCCTCGGCGTTCCCCAGAGAGAGACCAGAGCGATTCCGGGCTGTCTCGGCGCTCGCCCAGGTGAGGGGATGGGCCGGGCCAGACACGGTTGAGATTGTCCGCATCTTTTTTCAGTGTCTCTGGAACTCAGCCTGGTCGGAGTCCGAGAGTTGGCTTCGTCGCGGCTGCCTGCTGCAGCGGCGACTCTTTCTTATTTCTTTGCCATCCTTACCTGCAGCGCGGGCATCTAAAGACCGGGTGTTGGAGGTTAGTGGGAAGGTCTGGAAGGGCCATGGCAGTCGGATGGCTGGGGACTCGGATGCAGGAGCGGTTCCTGCAGGTGATGGTAAGGCGCTCCACTTGCTGGCGTGTAGACTCGGCGGAAAGGACCGTGCGTCCGCAGGCTCGGACTTCAGCTTTGCCCGCAGCACTGGGTTGTGGTAGACTCCATGCTGCTTAGTATAGGGTTGGTTGACTGAGGGCGGGGAAGCTTTGGAACAACCCCCGCTTTCTTCTCCAGGATGGATGTGTTTTGTATTCTGAATTGGTGCTTGCTGCACTGCACTCTGGAAGAGTACATTTCAGCACAATTTCCTATTGGTCAAAGGAAGGTGAAGAGAAGTTGACTTTCCATCTGGAGAGTATTAGTTGTTGTCGTTTTTTGTTTTTTTTTTACCTTCCTGTTGGCCTTAGTGTTGACGTTTGTTAAAGGTAAAAAGTTCATGTAAATTTCCTCTTTAAGGAAATCGTGGGCTTTATAACTGTCTAAGCACCTGTAAGTTTCAATCGGTTTAGTGTTGCTGCTTTCACCGTGGGCCGTAACAACAAAGTTGTTATATTCCATGTTAAATATACAAAATATAAAAATAGGTGAATAACCAGAATAGTTTGTTTTGTAACTATTGAGTGGTACATATAATTATGTGCATATATTATCACATTTAATAATCATAACAATTCTATAATGTCTATTATTCCAATTTTCTGTATGAAAGAACAAAAAGTCCATAGAGCTACAAAGTAACATGTTCGAAGTCAGATCTGTGATTCAAACCAGGTAATCTGACTTGTTTGCAGTCCCTTGGTCAGTAGACCATACAAACTCCCAAGCACCCTGTGATTTTCCAAGATTTTCATTTGATTAAAAAGTATGCCAAGAAGGACATTTTGGCACTGTTCTTGCCAGCAGGGACCTAACAGTTTGAGAGAAAAACTTTTTCAAGGTCACACTTTGAATATGTTGTAAACATAGGATTTGATCTCTAGGACCTTTGATTACCAAAGTCATGCTCTTGTACAGTGGTTTTGGAACCTTTGGAAAGCTTTAGTTTGGAAGTTGTAGTCTTATTGTAGACTTAGGAGCATTTCTTGTTTGGAAACTTTAAACAGGGAAATGTAATGTTGGGCTAAAAGAGTTTCCTCCTGTTTGTGCATGAGTAAGTAACCAAATCATGTAATCAGAAATGGTTATGCTGCCCAGAAAGGCAGAATACCTTATATGATTGGTTAAAGTGCCATTCTTTTCAGATTTGTTAAGATGAAACACTGCAGAAGGGCCGTCTGAAAAAAGGGAGAAGGAAAAACAATGTTGCAAACTCTGGAAAAAAAGTTGGGTACGTATTTTTGGCTAAGTTTTAAAAAGATGAAATTTTCAGTTAAAGCTCGGAGAAAAATCTTCTGACTTTCTGCTTCACTTGTGGTTTAATCTGCCTATATTGCTAGGGAATGGGGGTGGGGTGGTGGCGGCGATATGTAATGTAACCTGTTAATAGTTTTGCCTGACGTTTGAACTATTGATATCTGATTGACAATTAAGCCATGTGCTTACCCTATGCATTGGCAGGAGAAAGTAGGGAAATCCTTTGCTTATCAGGTGTCAAAATTCTTTTCTCTTTTGCTTGCTCTTTAATCTACCTATGTTTGTAAAGTGTTTTAATAAATTAAGGAAATGAAGAAAAGTAGTTGACTTTTGGTTTGTTCGTAGAATATTGTGTATGGCTGAACTCAAGTATATTTTTTATTGTGAGTTCTACAGAGAATAATAGAAGACATGATCAAAGGTGATTAAGAAGCAGTGTAATTCATTTCATAACTATCTATTGAGTATCATATGTTACACATTATTCCAGGCTTCTGGTAATAGAGTAATGGTCTTCATGGCGCTGGAGAGCACTACAGTAGTGCATTTTCTCTTAGAAGGTAACGTTTTTGTGAACTAATTATTTTCTTTATTTTATAAGCAAGTATGTTTTTAGTTTATGTAAAAGACCAGGAAGTGAGCATTACTCGTATAGTAAGTGTCATAAAAAATTTCATATTATTTTAGTTGATAAAGTAGGATTCTCTGTGAGTGCTGCATTAATGGACAGTGGGAAACTAGGAATTTTTTTTTTTTGAGACACAGTTTCACTCTGTCTCCCAGGCTTGAGTGCAGTGGTGCGCCTGGGCCCATTGCAATCTCTGCCTCCCAGGCTCAAGTAATTCTTGTGCCTCAACCTCCTGAGTATCTGGGATTACAGGCGTGTGTCACCACACCCAGCTAATTTTTATATTTTTAGTAGAGACAGGGTTTCACCGTGTTGGCCAGGCTGGTCTCAAACTCCTGACCTCAAGTGATCCGCCCACTTCTGCTTCCCAAAGTGCTGGGATTACAAGTGTGAGCCACTGTGCCTGGTGAAACTGGGATTTTTGTAGACTTTGTTTTAGCATACTACATTTCATATTAAAGATAGTGACAGAATTTTAAAATTTTATGGGAGTTTAGCAAAATTAATTTTTTAATTGAGAAAATTGGGGGAACTTATGTAGAAGATACATGGTCAGATAGGCAACTGTTTAGGTAATGAATTGGAGGGAGGTTAGCTTTGAAGACTGGTGGTCAGTTAGAGGCTATTATAATTACTCAGGTGGGAAATGAGAACTACAGTGCAAATTGTAATTAAGAAATGGAGATGGACTTAATAGATGCCCAGAAGGTTGATGGATAGGATTTAGTGAGCTTGAGGGAAAATGAAGTCAGAGTAATTTCTAGTCACCATCATCTTCATACATGTATTCATGTTTAACAAATACTTTTGGGATGCTTATAATGAATTATCTGGCTTAGGAAACTGAGTAGATTCTGGGGCCATTTACTGAGGTAGAAGTATAGGAAGAGCAGCAGATCAGGGAGCATGAATCAGGGAGATGAGTTCAGTTTGGTCCATTAAATATGAGGCATCTGTAACTTTTAAGAAATGTCATTAGGCAGTTGTATATATGGATCTGAGTTAAGAAGAAGACCCAGCTTGAGATGTAAGTTTTGGAGTCACAGTTTAAAGATGATAGTTAAAAGCAATGGCAATGGATGAGATCACTCACAGGAAAATGCAGAGTGAGAATAGAAGAGAAGAGGATGGAGAACAACAGCATTTAAGGGTGAGGTTGAAGAAAAACATACCTCAAAGGAGTAGGCCGGGATGTAGGGTTTGACAAGAGAGTCACAAAAGTCAGTGGCAGAACTGAGTTTAGAGAAAAGGAGTATTAGACATCTGTAGCTATCAAATAGGATGAGGGCAACTAAAGTATCCATTGGATATATCACTTAAGAAATCCTTGATGACCTGAGCAAGAGCAGTTTTACAACTGAGGTGAATTCACACTGGGTAAGAGATTATGGATGTTGAAATAGCTAATGTGATTTACTATTTCAGAAAGTTTAGTTGTAAATGGAATAGAGAAGGATGTAGCTAAAGCTGTGAGTTTGGGAGAAGATTTTTGTTTTTTAAGGTATAAGAAATGTAAGCACATGTTTATTTGCTGAGGATAAAGAATCATCAGAATGAAAATCTGAAGATATAGGAATGAGGCAAAATAATTGGTGAAGCACTGAAAAAACTGGAAAGGATGTAATACAAGGGTTCAGGTCAAGGCTACTTTAGATAGACTTCTACTGAGATAGGGTGGAAGGAGATTATGATTATGTATACAGGTAAATTTGTAGGAGGCAGACTAGAGGGCTACTCTACAAAGTTTATGCAGGAGACTCTAGTGTATGGTGGAAAGAGGAAGTGGTTCACTCTTGTAATCACTAACTTTTTTGGTGTGGTATTGCTGACTCGTGATCTTATAGTAGGGAGGAGGAGATTAAAGTAGTTTAGCTTTAGATGACATATAGGAATCATCAAGTTATAGATACCTTGAAGATCTCTTGCAGAGTTACCCTTCTCATACTTTGTATTAATATCTATGACTAAATAAAATAAATAAATGGGAAAAAAAATCTATGACTAAATAACAAATGATCCCAGAACTTAGGGGTTTAAACCAATAAACGTTTATTAACTCAATTTCTGTGGATCAAAAATTTGGGAATGACTAAACTGGGGCTCAGGGTCTTTCAGGAGGATGCAGCAAAGACGTAGGCTGGAGCTTTAGTTATCTAGGATAGCGTTCCTTGACCTTTTTGGCACTAGGGACTGGTTTCGTGGAAGACAATTTTCCATGCACCTGATGGGGCTGGGGTGGGTGGGGGGATAGTTTCAGGATGAAACTGTTTCACCTCAGATCATCAGGCATTAGATTCTCTTAAGGAGCACACCACCTAAATCCCTTGCAGGTGCAGTTCACAATTGGGTTTGCACTCCTGTGAGAATAATGCCACTGCTGATCTGACAGGAGTCAGAGCTCAGGCAGTAATGCTCGCTTACCTCCTGCTGTGCGGCGTAATTCCTCACAGGGCACAGATGAGTACCAGTCTGTGGCCTGTGGGTTGGGGACCTCTGATCTAGGGGCTCGACTGGGGCTGGATGGTTTACTTCTATGATGGCTCACTAGTTAAGCTGTTGGATGGAGGCCAACAGCTTTTTTTGTCATGGTCACATAAAAGTTCAATTTCAATTATAGTAATATTCTTGGTTCACAGGAATTGGCTGTTATATGGATCCACTGGGCTCTCTCCTTAGCAGCACCCTAATAAAAGAAATAATTCCTGTGACCTCAGTATGATGAGAATATTGGTAAACACATGTGACCATTTTCTTCCTCCCTGTCTCCCAAGTTCCTGTTTTGTTGGGTGGGTAGTTTGAGTATGTATCAAGACT